GTTATATCCTTATTGTTGATTTAATCAAAAAATGTTGTTAACAAAATTTGTTTAGAATTACTTCAGGAACAGTGTTTGTTAATACAATTTTTTGCTAACTTGAAATTTTAATTTCCCTCTGAATAGTATGCTATCAAAATTAATTATCTCAACAATTATTGTTTTTATCATTATTCTAAATTGCATTTTATGTTTAAAAAATCTGTAATAAATACAATAAAGTATTATTATTTAATAATAATTTATTATAATGTTATTTGTTAGTCGAAATATAAATTTTAAAAACTCATATCTCAAGACCGAATTGAGATATCATTATGAAATAAAAAGCAGATTCGATAAAGTTTTAAATCCAAGTCTGTAGAACTTCGCAGTTACAATATTTTAAGTTAAAATTTTCATTTAATATTTTCAAACCATATTTAGGTTGGCATAATTGACGTGTTTGGTAACAAAATAAACCAAAAATTCCTAGATCTGTCATTTAACTAATTTCACACATCTGAAACATAACCTAGAAATCACATTAAAAGAGATAGTAACAAACTCACGTCTTTTTATAGTTTTTTTAAGTAACTTTATTTTTATTTATTATTTCCTTAATTCAACAGATCGATCTTAGTCTATGTGCATAAAAAGCGCATCATTTAGGTTGAAAGTGAACTCAAATATTGTAAGAAATGGAACATCACAGACTTACTTCGTTAACCATGAAACGGGATTTAAGCCTTGGCGCGAGTAAACCAAAGAAAATATATAAACCCAATTTAAATGTGGTCCGAAATAAAGATAAATCAAAAGAGTACTCTTTAAGCTGTCAGTTTAATTATTTTCATTTCTAATTAATTGTTACTTTTAGGATGATCAAGTTAGTTCAAGAACAAGTCAAACAAAAACGAGATCGACACGCTAATAGGCAAAACTTTCGCAAAGAACAACCAAAAAATATTCAAGTATCAGGGGTGTTTTCTCAAGGTTTTGGGTCTGGGGAGCGACGCCAAACAAGTGGGTTTGAACGAAGAGATTACACTAGAGATGTTGATACTCAATCAGAGACACCAAAAATTAAGAAAAAATGGACTTGGGAGGTATATTTATAGGTTGGATTTAAATAAAAAACTTTGATCAAAATAATATCAATTTTAAAATATATTGATCAATTTATTATAACTTATTTTTAGAACACAGATGATGAGAAAATGGATTATGATCCCCTTGTTAATAAAGATGATGACACATCTGAAGAAGAAGGCGAATATCAACCTATTAGATTACCTCTACATGCTAATAATGGTAAATATATACAGGTGAGTTATTGGTATCCCAGCGGTCGATAGTTACTAAATTGTATGAGAAAGAAAAAAGTGTTTTATATAAAAGTTGTTTGACTCACCACTTGCTATTATGTAAAATTAAAAGATATAGAACATCAAGTTGCCCATCAAGTTCCATATGTCTAACTTTAATAGTTTTCCTGATATTTAGAATTTAAAGAAAAATGTGTAATAAACAGAGCACGGAACTTTTGTAACAAAACGATACGATTCCCCCCTCCACTCGTTCTCAGAAAATCTTGATTAAAAGAACAGCATACTGTTCAGTGGGAAATTAAAATTTCAAGTTAGAAAAAAATTGTGTTAACAAAAATTGTTCCTGAAACAATTCTAAACAAACTTTGTCAACNTTAACATACATATCATTTCAAGATTCTTAAAAACACAGTTGATATGATTTTTTGAAAATGTTCGTTATTTTTTATTTGACAATTTCGTATTTAATAATTTTTTCCTGGAAATTTTAATAATATTTTCTTATAGTTTTTATATCATATCATAAAATAGAATCTTTAAGCTTTAATTTAACATATTTATTATATCAAGATTCTTAAAAACACAGTTGATTTGATTTTTTGAAAATTTCGGAGTATTTTTTATGTATAAATTTGACAATTTCTACTTTAATAATTTTTTCTTGGAAATTTCAATAATATTATCTTATAATCTTTATATCATATCATAAACTAAAATCTTTAAGCTTCAATTTAACATATATATCATATCGAAATTCTTAAAAGTATGGCCGATATGATTTTTTTTAATTTAACGTTTTTTTAAATTATAAATTTGACAAATTTTTCTTTAATAATTTTTTCTTGGAAATTTCAATAATATTATCTTATAGTTTTTATATCATATCATTAACTAGAATCTTCACTGTATACTAATTATTTTGTTATGATTAGGTTGGAGCAGTTGGTATGATTGGTCAAAATGTGCTCATATTTCTGATCCAGAATCGTCTGGGTCTGATCGTTACTCAAATTCGCAAGGTGATGGTTGTTTATGCAGAATTCGAATGTGCAATAATCCGTCCCCACAAAACGGGGGAGTAAACTGCTTCGGCCCAGCCATACAAGTTATAAACTGCACCGTCCATGGAGGTTGGACTTCGTGGTCGGCATGGTCTGAATGTTCGGCAACATGCGGAAACGCAATTAAAACGAAAACCAGGACTTGTACGAATCCATCTCCAGCTCATGGCGGCCGCGTTTGCGTTGGGCAAGATAGATCGGAAATTCTATGCACGGGAATCCCACCGTGTCCGGTAGCCACACCTCCACCTCGCGATGGAGGTTGGAGTTCTTGGAGCAGTTGGACAAGTTGTTCCAGTTCGTGTGGAAGAGGTTTTCGAAGGCGTATGAGGGAATGTAACGAACCAACGCCTTCAAATGGCGGTCAAGATTGTTCTGGCACTTACGTAGAGTATGAAGAATGCGATATGGGCCCATGTGATGAAAGTATCGAGTTAAAAAAAATAAGCCAATGGTCCCAATGGTTTCCCTTAAACGGCAGCGAATATTCTAGGATCGTGCGAAGGTTTAGATATGTTTGTAAAGCACCCGTTAAGGATGTTTCGCAAATTAAATTGACCATGCATAAGGAAGATAAATTATGTACAAACAATCAATGTTCGAAGCAAAATCGTGATATTGCTAGGTGGAGTTCTTGGAGCCCTTGGTCGCCATGCTCGACAACTTGCGATAAAGGTTATCAGAAGCGGATTAGATACTGCGAAGGGCCTGGGAAATGCAGAGGAAAATCAACCGAAAAGAAAACTTGTGTTAACCTTCAACAATGTGGCTCAAAATGGAGTTGTTGGACAGATTGGTCCGTTTGTAGCGTTACGTGCGGATGGGGAATACGTACAAGACATAGAACGTGTTTGGGAAATTCTTGTAGTGGACATAGTCAAGAACAAGAACCTTGCGAACAACAACCATGCAGTTGTAAGTTAAATTTCATTTAAAAGTAAATAAAACATCAAATTTTTTGTATTTCCAGCTTTATTAGGTTGGAGTAATTGGACTTCTTGGTCAGCTTGTGATTTAAACGGTTTTCAACATCGGGTGAGACAATGTAAAAGCGCAAGTCGAAGTCCAAACGTCTGCCAAGGAGCTGATAAAGAAACAAGAATATGTCTTAGTCATTTCGAAATAGGAAATGATATTCCTCAGATGGCGAGTTGCGAGGAACTCTCGATGGCAAGTGGTTACGCGTTGGGATGTGTATTACTTGGCATGGTTATTGGAGTAATTGCGACTGTAATGATCCGATTTGGATACGTAATTTATATAAAAAAGAAAAACCGAATACCAAGTTCGCCTCACTATATGAACACAAAACCAAATTCGTACGTTCCCGTGCCGCTTAAAGAACGACCAAGCAAAAAGACTTTACCCTCAACATCCGCGATATTAAATAATCTTAACGGTACTCTTAAGTCGGCTAAAATGAACGATTACGAGGCTACATCCCCGAAAAGAAACAGCCACAACCTCAACAATGCAATTACAAAAAGTGACAAATCGTATTACGAATAGATTTTTGATGAACTGTGATACTTTTCAATCGATCAATCTTAGTCTCATTTATTCCATTTCATTTTTTGCGCAGTTCATTTTAAAATTGTGTTAAATTAAGCTCGACAATCGTTCGTTATATAGCTTTATATAGAATGCCATATTAACAAAACCCGTTTTGTTAAGATTAAAACTATCTTTTATTAACCAAATGTAAAGTTAATGTTTTTTATAAATCTTTATACGACCATTGTTTATACTAAGACATGTTTATTATTATAAATGTTATTACTCATATTGAGTAGATAGATTTGTTATGGAATAAATTTATATTTTAAGTTCTTCTTCTTATTCTTTATATGTAGGGAAATTACTAAACTAAATTAAACGCCCAAAAAGAATATGATTTAAGCCAAACTAATATGATGCAAATATGACGGGAACAACCCATGACCCACTCTTAATCTACATATTGCAATAAAATATTTATATTAATTTTGGCTATACCATTGAACTATGGTGTTTTCTAAAAATTAAAAAAATATAAAAACTGAAACTTGATCAAAAAATAAACACAATTTTAAACAAAATAATTACTAATACCAATTAAACACAAATATCGTCCTCATCATCATTATATATAATAATCTTATAATATCTGCGTTTAGTTTTCCTTTCTTTTTAAAAATCGCTCTCAAAGAGGATATTATCAGGTCCAAAGATCTCTTTTTTGGACTTGGTCGACTATCATCATCTTTCGTATGTCCTTATTTCGCACTCGATCTAGTTTAATCAATTTCAACTGCCAGCAGCCGGTTCTCTATTTGTTTATTTATTAGGTTGCGGATTCGTACAACGCCACGGGGATGAAGATAGTGGAATATAGTAGGAGTTTATGGCTTTTGTTATGTTTTTGCCAATTCTTCGCTGTGGTCCATTCGCGTTCTATAATTAAGGTGTTATCATTTAGAACCAGAAATACGATAAGAACCAAAATAGAGTCGATACGATTTTTTGAACATTTCGTATAATTTATGAAAAATTTTTACATCTCTATTAATTAAGCATCTAAGTATAATTATGCATAAAAACGGAAAATTTATTATTTTGAGATTATCTCCTTAATTATTGATTAAATCAAAAAAAATTGTTGACAAAGTTTGTTTAGAATTGTTTCAAGAACAATTTTTTTCTAACTCGAAATTTTAATTTCCCACTGAACAGTATGCTACAAAAATTATTATTTTTGAGGTTATATCCTTATTGTTGATTTAATCAAAAAATTTTGTTAACAAAATTTGTTTAGAATTACTTCAGGAACAGTGTTTGTTAATACAATTTTTTGCCAACTTGAAATTTTAATTTCCCTCTGAATAGTATGCTATCAAAATTAATTATCTCAACAATTATTGTTTTTATCAAAAAATGTTTTAAATAAAATTTGTTTCAATTTCGATTTTGAATCAATTATCTTAATAAAAAATTTTTACATCTCTATTAATTAAGCAGCTAAGTATAATTATGCATAAAAACGGAAAAATTATTATTTTGAGGTTATCTCCTTAATTATTGATTAAATCAAAAAAAATTGTTGATAAAATTTGTTAAGAATTGTTTCAGGAACAATTTCTGTTAACACAATTTTTTCTAACTCGAAATTTTAATTTCCCACTGAACAGTATGCTACAAAAATTAATGTTATTGAGGTTATATCCTTATTGTTGATTTAATCAAAACATTTTGTTAACAAAATTTGTTTAGAATTACTTCAGGAACAGTGTTTGTTAATACAATTTTTTGCTAACTTGAAAATTTAATTTCCCTCTGAATAGTATGCTATCAAAATTAATTATCTCAA